TAGCTCACCTTGCAAAGTGCGTTATTAAGAGCTCTCCTCCAGTGGTTCACTGACCTGAGAAACCCAGTCGGTGACCCATGACAAAACCTTTATTCACTGGGCTGATGTGGAGACGAAGTATCAACATATAATTAATAAGCTGTAAAATGACGTAAGAGCTAGTATTAGTAGTAGTTTTGGGTTGATATATAGTGACTTTGAAAATAGAAGATTAACACTTGTATTTTCAGAGTTGATGAAAGAGGTGGCATGTTACCAATAGTCTGTACGTAGTGCAGAGGACTAAATCACTTGGCTCAACGTGACTGAAATAGGTGCCAGGTCAGGGTACGGCGCAGACCTTGTTTTTTGTTCAGCAGCATTACCTTCCTTCTCACATTGCATTAAGTCATTTCAGTGTTAAGCTATTATGCAATAGAGCCTCAATGCCAAGTTTTCCAAGACTTAACCATGAGGGCACACAGACGGACACCACTTTTCTACCCGCCCTAAAAAAAATCGGGTCGAAAAGTGGGCATTTAACTTGTGCAAATTTTATGGAAAGATTGTGTAATTTTCCAATTCTAAACCCAAAAGTCAAAAAGTGATACTCAAGAGAAAAAGAAGAAGAAATGCATTTGCTGTTTTGCTAGGTGTGTGGGTGGACAAGAAATGGGTGGCGTTGCCTCTCTCCGTGAATTGTCTGTCATAGTCATTATTTTCTCCTTTCTCTAGCTTTCCACCCCCCGTCTTTGCCTCAGTCTGAAGAAGTGTGGATGTAAATGAGAACATTTCACTAACAAAAACAGTCTTTTGCCTATTGCGATTTGGTTGAGACTTTAACCTACATTTTCCTTCCACAGCATTTTCCGTTGCAGCTACAGCACGCTGCGTATTTTCCCAAGATATATAATAAGGAATACATTGTGTTCTTACCCGTATGTTTGCTAAAACCCTACAGTACTCATACACAACAATCAAAACACACCTCAGCTCACACGTTTACCCATCCTCCATTACTATCATTGTCTCATTCTCCACATTGTTTTGAGCACAGCCGGCCTCTTTGTTTGACTCATCTGTCTCTCTCAGCGGCTGTTGAGCTCTGGTCTTTTATACAGCTGGGCGAAGCCTGCCCACAGCTCCGTGTTGTTGTTTTTTATGGTACTCAGCTTTGAGTGATTGGATCACCAAAATCCAAGTGTGAAAGATTAGTCATCTTCATAGTCAAGGTTTAGAAAAAAGTCAATTTTTACTACAGTTGCGCTGCTTTCAAGCATGAACTCCAGAAAATGTTAAGAGAGTCAGGTTGGGACATGGTCCAGAGTTGTCCTTTCTCACATGTCCCACATTCACTAGCTGAGAAATCAGTGCACTGATACTAAACGGTCCAAAATCCCACAGATTTTTTTCCTGGAAGCTTTAAGACGTTTTAATCTGGCTTTATATTTGTTTTGTAGTTTTTTTTATGGTTTGCTTGTGAATAAGCATATTCCTTCCTTTTCATGTGTTTGGCCAACAGTATGTTTTTGAAAGCAAGATCAGTGCTGATCCATTTCCTTCTTAGCATTTTAGGATTAATGTATAAAAAAAAATCCATAAGATTAACTTAAACATGAACCCCAATACTAAGCCATTGTGCCAGCTCTCCCAGTCTCGGTCAAAACCTGCAGTTTAACTTCAGCATGCCATGTGGTGATGTAACATCTGGTTGGACCTGAGCCGAGGCCATAAAGCCTCTGACACCTGGTCCAAAACAGGCCAGCCTTAATGTTAGCTTTGTTTTCTTGTGTCTAGAGCTTGTATCTTTGTTTTATGGATTACTGTAACTTACTAGTTCAATGTGTGCTTTATTGTGCACACGTGTGTGCATGTATGTTAATATGGATTTGAGATCATCATCACGAAACATGTACAGTGGGGGAGAAAAACGTAATTTTTATACTGTCATGCTTCCATAAATATTGCCGCTGATTATATTCCACTTGCTGGTTTTGAGTTTGAAGACTCATCAGTCGCTTGATGATTGATGGGCAAGCTAACCAATTAGTTACAGAGAGGTGAGAAGGGTTGTAACCAGATAGGCAGATAATCCACTGGGCTCAGAGAAGGCTGGCTGGTGTGTGTGTCTGTGTGTGTGTGTGTGTGTGTGTCTGTGTGTGATTGACAGATTTGAACTGTCCTTGTAGTGCCACTGTTGTTATTTGTGTGGCCATGTTTATATGCGCCCTGGGCAGGCAACACCTGGTGAACAGGGCTAATACACACACACACAACGCACGGACAGGATGACACAAATACACTTAGAGCTCTATACTTTGGCCCAGATGTGTGTCACATTCATTTAACCTATTGATTATGGAACAAAGCTCAAACGGTGTGAGTCTTTCCCAGATATATGAGTATTACCCTTCATGCAAGAATCTTAAAGCAAAAATAACAATATTTGCATTCATTAGTGTCTTCAGTGTCTGAAATACCTGGGCATTAAATATTTGGGCTTTCTAAAAGAACTTATACTGCTCTGTAAAAGGTGTTTGCACCACATTAAGTCAAAGCAGCTTGCAAAGAAAAGCGTCTGGACTTCTTTAAGTTGCTTGAAGACGTTTCACCTCCCATCCGAGAAGCTTCTTCAGTTCTAAGGTCAAATGTCGGAGAGTCCCAGATTCACCAGAACCTTCACAGACATATGCACCACATTAAGTTTCTGCCTTTCTGATACA